TCATTAATGTATGCTAGGAACAAACAGGGGCCTAGCACTGATCCCTGGGGGACCCCTGACTTCACATCGACAAAGGAGGAGCTTGTACCGTCCACCACTACTGCTTGGCATCGGTGGCTGAGGAAGCTAGAGATCCATGTTTTAGTGGTGCCTTGGATCCCATATCTCTGGAGTTTGTGTAGAAGCAAACTATGATTCACACAGTCAAATGCCTTTGCGAAGTCCATCACCAGCACATCAGTCTGCTTGCGGCTCTCCAGATTGGTCATCAAGTCTTCTACAAATTCAAGGAGCTGAGTCTCACATGATCTATTAACTCGGAAGCCATATTGACAGTCATTGAGTTTATTTTGGCTTTCAAGATGCTTCATGACGATTATGTGCTCCAACAGTTTGCAGACCACGCTGGTGAGCGATATCAGACGATAGTTGGCAGGGTCGGAATGCTCCCCTTTCTTGTAGATTGGAAAGACATGCGCTGTTCTCCAGTCTGCTGGTACATTTCCTGTGCACAGCGATGATTGGAAGAGGATTGTCAGTGCAGAAGCGATATCTTTGGCTAATTCTTTGAGCACTCGTGGTTTGATGTTGTCAGGACCACATGCTTTGTAGGGGTTAATGGTTTTGAGGAGGTCAAGCACACCCTGTTCTGATATCTGGATATCATCCATGACAGGGTAGTTCAATCAAGCCATTTTTCTTCATTCGTTTGTATTGGCGGTCTCTCCTGTGGATGAGCCTACGGATTTCAGCCGTGATACATGGATGATTTATCTTAGGTTTGGTTGTCTTGTATGGTATGAATTTCTTCACTGCATCAGTGATTGTTGTCTTAAACTTCACCCACAGCTCTTCTGTTGTCGCTGTACCCTGAATCCCCTACATGTTTGAGCTCAGCTCTGTCGTTGCACTCTTCAGGCCATCCCAGTCTGCCTTGGCATAAATTGGGATTTCTCATATGATCTGTTTCTTTTTTAGTGTGTTGACCTGAAATTCACAATATGGAATGCAGTGGTCCGATATCCCGGGGATGACCTCAACTTTTGGGACACGATGTGGACAGTTGGTGAGGAGTAGGTATAGAGTGTTTCCCCCCTCGTGGGTTCTTTAACCAGCTGTTCCAGACCATGTTGTTAATTATCTCCATGAATTCTGAGTGTAGAACAGGGTATGGGGACTTGGGCTTCAAGGCAGGAATCTGCCAGTTCCAACCAGGAAAGTTAAAATCCCAAAACCCCCCCCCCCCCCCCCCATAAGGAAAGAAGCGTTCTTCGAGTGTGCTGCTCTGTGAAGCGCTACCTCGTACCTCATTGGTTCATCTGCTGTGTTCGGTCTGTAATAGGCACTGCCTATATCCCAATATACAAGTGTACCACTTACTGAAGCCAAACAACAACAAGAAACAGCAACTATAAGCACCGCTATAGATTTAATTGTAAATTCATTGTAAAGGAGAACATACTCAGTTAAGGTCAATTCACTGTTTCAAGAACACTAATCACATTCAACATGTTACACCTGGGGGCTTTACCTGGGGCGATCTTACGCTTCCATATTCTGGCAGGCAGCAAATTTTCTTGGAAAAAATTATGGACATATTCGTTGTATTTCTCTAGAAAACTTTTCATGGTGGAGCCACTCAAGGACTGAAAGTAAGTTAAAAACAGATGGAATTTATAGCAAGTTGTTGACATAATCCATCTTTTATCAATCAAATCATAATTTTGTTATTTCATCTCAAGCAAATATTGTTATGGTAGAAAAATAGCAATCAAAATAATAATATTGTTAGAATCAAAATATTGTAAAGATCTTATGTTTTAAAATTTTTTTATAATAAAAATCACTAAACAGAGTATCTAAACAATTCCAGAAATAATTGCACTTTAAACATACTGCACAAACTTAATGCTATCATGAAAAAAAAAAAGAGAAAAGATTGAAATTTATAAACTCAGTTCCATAGATTTTTCTGTTACCGCCAACATCATCTTTTTTTTATAACTAGAGATGTTCAACTTACCATTCAGAGATTCAAGACAGATATAAATAGGTCACCACCATTCCCATGTGACACTCACCTGTATCTGGCCACTCATGTAATTGATCTGTTGATTGAGCAGCCCAATCTGGCTCATGGAGAGAGTGTCAGCTACACGGTGCACAAAGTGGTCATCGTTCAGATGCATGTTGTGCAGCAGGTATGAAACACTTTTTGTGGAGTCTACCAACATCTGTGGCCAAAGCAACATCCATGAAATAATTGAATACTTCCATTTCCAAGACAAGAAATGTTCTTAGTATGATTAACTGAACTTGAAGTAAATTGTATTTATATGTAAATAAATTGTATTTGAAGTTAATATGAGCAAATTTGTGATTTATGTTAAAATACACACAATGATATTTCAAAATAACAAAACATGGTTTCCTATAAATTAATTTCAAGAATAAAATCTTTCGAGTTCAACACAAAATACTTTTGAGTATATTGTTTTTAACACATCTAAAAACCAGAATTTATTGTGAATTTTTAAATGATATCTGATAACTGAATTATATTTAGCAGCAATTTCTGAAAAAATATTTGACCTCATTTAGTTGTGTTAGTATCTGGCAGACCACCCTTTAAATATGTGTGTGTAAATACATACTGACTTCAAAGAGACCAAAATTTAAAAAATGACCGTCAACAGTTTCACCTTACCATGTACCTATAGATATCATCTAATTGTTCACCTCAAGATCACACCAATTACCTTAAGATCACAGTGTGTCAAGAGCAGAAACTGGTTCACATTCCAAGCGGCCAGGAGCTGTTGGATTTTAGAACTGCACCAGGTCATGGCCAGCTTACAAGTGCTGAGGATACGCCAGGCCACACCTGCACAAACACCCAGGTCAACATCAGCGTGTGGGTGAGCGTGGTCTGAATCTGCTTGAATAGAAATATCGACTTGACTTAAATATGGCCAACTTGTATTTATTTTGAGTAATTTTAATGTGCATATTTGATCAAGTTTTAAAATTTTAGGAACTGTCTTCCATTGTTTTTTTTTAAAACCATGTGTTTTATCCATCTTACAACCCCTAAAAACAAACAAGGAGTGAAATTAAAATATCACCTGTGTTTGCTATCTCAATACATGCAAAAGAAATTGTCTGAAAAATTTAATACAAGGAATAGATTTATTTTTCTTAAAACTGGTATTAGAATAAAAATTGAGAGTAAGGATATCAAATTCAAAAAAGATGCATTAAACCCCTTAATTAAACAAAAATTAATGGTTTATAGTCATTTGCTCCTATTATTAGTTAAATTGTGAGACACTTGAAAAAAGTCTAGCAGTTAAAATGAAATCAAAATTTTAAAAGCCTTGTCTCATCCACCATATGTTTTGATAGAATGGGCCAATAATTGAACTTTGAAACAATTCTTAATTTCTCAAGATAGATCTTTTAACCCTTAAAGGCACACTTTCTGTTGCGTCAAAAAAAAATTTTTTTAAAATGTGTACCTTGATTTTTTGGGAAGCAGCAACAAATCTCATGCAGAATACTCATCAAAGGTTTGTACATATCCCTCAGCAAACGTCCCGTTCGAGTGCTGTAAAAATCTCCACTAATCAAACAAGGCTGGCACTTGTCTGTTGATTCTGATGCCAGCATTGCATTCAACACTTGAGACAGAGAGCAGAAAAGTCATACAACTAGAACTGTGGTTTTTTTATATATATTCACAATATCTTTAAAGAAGCAGTTAATATCTGAATAACAGGCACAGAAATTTAGCATATTACAAAAGTATCAGATACAAATTTTTTTAAAGTTTAAATTGTTGACTTACAAGTATCCCAGGCCCCATAAGATGATAAGGCATGCAGTCTAAACACAACTCCAAGCAAGGGCTGAACAGAAGATGGTGGAAACATATCTGTTGTAGGCAATTTTATTTGTTGTCATCAAGTGCATCAATTTTATATATGTTTCAATTTTTTTTAATTAAACAAACACTTTAACAGAAGAAACATAAAAAAACTGAGGTCTTATAGACTATAATAGAATAAAAAGCTCATTTCAATATTGTTGTGGTTCAAACACTCTTAATTTATTGATTAAAAAAATGCTCATTATAGCCCTTAATAACTTGTGAAGAAGAAAACTTGCAGGAATTGCAACGAGCATTTATTTGCAGGTTTTGTATATAAATTCTAAAATAGTATTTCTAAACATTTGCAGGCATTGTAGAATAAATTCCAGCTTAAAAATTCATCATTAGATCCTTTTGATTTGCTTTTAAGATTAGATCAACTTCAGCTACTTCTAAATTAAATTAAATATGTTACATAAGAGAAAAGGGAAAATTAATGCCTAGAGACAGTGTGTTATAATTCCAGTTACCTTTATAGCAAACATGCTCAATCATGTTTCTGAGCACAGCAGACACAGTGTCACTGAAAAGGAGCACAGATCCCATTTCTGACTGCAGTAGACATTTCCTTCCACTCCAGGCGGGTTCATCAAGAAACAAGTCTAGATTTCTGCCAAGGTGAGTCCACATAGAATCCATGTAGTGGGCTACAACTGCACTACGTATGGTGTTGTCAGCGTTATCGCCCCATGAAACGGTCTTTCGCTGAGAGTCTGTGCGTGTCATGACTGGAGTCTCCCCTTGAAACTGCACCCTGGGGGGCCTACCGACGACAGGGCTTAAAGGTGTTTTAGAGTTTGCCTGTTTGTTACTGTGGCGAGCCCGATGCTGCTTGTGAGGTTCATTTTTTCTCAGCAAGGAAGTCGAGTTACAAACAATCAGAAGAAAAGTCTCTGCAAACTCCTGCTCTTTCTGTGAGAACTGTAGAAGCGGTGAAACAAGGTTGGAGAGATCAGGGGCCCTCACTGGGCCAACTTGTAGAAAAGTTGCATTAAGACTGGCGCTGCTTCCAGTGAAAGTGTGATAGTCAGAGGTATCACTGTGCATCATCACAGAATGAGGCTGATTCTGATGAGGGAGGTAGTGATCCCACTCAAAGCTCGGTAGACTACCACAGTTCAGCATGCGAAAAAAGTGTTCATTTTGCGTGAAGAACTGATGAGTTAGTTTGGCTGCATACCTGGATCTCTCATTGGCCAGGATGCTCAGGATCTTGGTGAACGGAATAGTCCTAAGTGGCTTTGTTACAGCCGAATTAACTACAGATGAACGGGCGTTGCTGGTGCTGGCAAACAGATGGATGCCAAAAGTCAGTGATTTATCGACCTGGTAGTGCAGCTTGAGACCATTGACAATGATGTTGAAATCCTCCAGTCCCCTAGTAATGTTCCACATAAACTCTGGGGTCAAGGTCTCTAGGTTGCAATGGGCAAACACTTCAAATCCCACATGGATCAGCTGCTCAAGGTTACACACCGCCCTGAGAATGGCTGAGGTTAGGACCTGCATGATGTGCTGCAGTTGGAGACACAGCTGGCCAAGTCTTGGCTGCAGCCAGCGGTTTGTGTTCAGCCTCTGCTTGATGCTGTTCCAGTGGGCCACATGCAGGCGCAGATCTTCGCACAGCGCATTCAGGCAGTACAGCTTTGTGGCAGGAGTTTCTGTGATGCAACCGTGTCTGATGGAGTAAACGGTCCGACACTCCATTTGTAGTAGGCTTTCGAGCTCTTCCACAAATATCTGGGGAAACAAAATTTGATCAAGATATTAATAAAGAGATAGATAATAAACTAAAACACTGTGTATATAATATATGATTGAATCACTGTTAGATTACTGGGTAAATATTTGACCTCACCTGAGCAGCTTTAACCCTAATCAGGCAGTCTTTTAGAATTTCAAGTTGCGCCCTCTCTTCCATCAGCCTACGAAGGTTAGAATAATGTTTCCCTAGTTGGACACCTCTGTGATTGTGAGATAACCATAGTTTTTGTAAATTGTTCAATTGGTACAATTTCATGTTATTTATGTACTAACACATTAATGTATTAACATGGATGGTTCTAGCATTGGTGGGATTAGTAATGAAAAAATATATTAAAAAGTTAAACATTGTTAACATTCCCACATAAATCTTTACATATCTGATCTACTTAAACGAGAGCTAAAATGAAAAAAATTAATTTTTTTTTTTTTTTTGTTATTCAAAACTATTTTATTTTTAAACAAATAAACAAATATAAGCATAAAGTAAGTTGTCATTAAAAGAAAGTGAGTTATTTTGTTTTGTTTAGTGGCTCCAGTGGCTTGATACGAGTTATAAATGATACACATTTGTGAGTGTAATCTATTAAACGTTTGTAGTACCTTGGACAATGGCTAAAGTATCCACCATCCATCTCTGGCATTCTTTTGCTGGCATGGTACCCAGGCTGAAGAATGTCGAATGCTTTCCGAAGGAACTTGCTGGCATCATCAGCATCAGAAGAGTCAAATGTTGTCTCAAAAGCTGATGACTGGTCACCATCAGCTTCAACAAATCCAAAAGCCTTTTCGAAGGAGAGAGATAAAATTATATGCAATAAGAAAATAGATTATTATAGGGCTGAAACGGTTTCCTATTGAAGAAACATGGGTTGTAACAAAACCCAACCATGAAGCAAAGAAATGTCCCTATTTGCTCTTTTATTTTAACATTATTCAGCACAGGTATTTGAGTGTCTTGGATTAGAATTTTAGCGGTCTATTTCCAAAACATTACCTGAACAGGCACATCCGGTGGTTCATCTTCATCCACTGGATTGTGTTTACCCAGCATATGAATTGGTGGCAGCCTTGATTTTAGGGCCCCTCGGCCCCTTCCGAAGCCGTGGCTCATTTCCAGATGTTTAAACTTAAGTCAGTTAGTCCTTCTCTGTATCTTAGGCATTATTTCTTGCCTCAGAGCAGGCTAAATGATATGATTCACTCTATGAAAATCAATCCTATCATAATTTTGATCAGCTGAGGAATAAAAAACAACAAGTTAACACTTTAGGTGATGCTAAGCTGGATTTAAGAGATGAATTAAGATTTTGAAAAATTATAAATTGAAGCAGCAGAGATGGCTTCTAAAAATTGAGCAATAAAAAAATAACAACATTACCACTTCTTACAAAACTGAAACTAAGATAATTTACTGATTCTTTAAACAATCCCTCTGGTTATTATGAAAGCTGCAGTGGTTGGAATAGGAGGTCAAGAGTAAAAAGGGACCCCACTTCACAAAATATGGAATTGAATTTTTCCCTTCAGCCAACTTAAAGATTGGGAATTCACAGATGACTTTGCACTCCTTTCCAATTATTTTACTCAAATGTAAAGCAAAACATCAAAGCTCACTCAGATGGCTTATCAGATAGGATTAAATATCAATGTGAAGAGAAAAAAAAAATTCCTTAAATTTAACACAGCCAATATTTGCAGAAGTCCAAATAACCTTGTAGAAATAACACTCAAGTAACTTTATTCATCTGAGAAGCTACATAAGTAATGAGGGTAAAATCAAAGAGAGCATCAGAACGAGAATAAAGAAAGCAAAACTCTGAATAGATATAACACAACCCCTTGAGACCAAAGCAAAAAGTGGTGCTATTTGCTGGGTTGGTGCTATTAGCAGATTCAGCCAGAGTCAAAAAAGTTGTGCCGGGGTGAGTTAGCGCATCTGCCAGGGACTGTGCGATTTCAAGGTATGTTAGTTACTTCCTTGTTTCATTGTTCGCACTATGATGAAAATTTCAAAACGTTTTTAAAAAGATAAAAATACTACAGTCGTATAGAGAATGCATCACAAATACACCAAGATCAACTTTCTTGCTAAATTGGTTCAAAGTTATGAATTTTTTAGTAAGGAACACAAAACCACTTTTTAGCTATGGGGTTTTCCTCCAAATTTCGTCACCCTTATCTTGCTTTTGAATTTATGCCTATAACTTAATTATAAAATGAGACAAAAATTTTATACTTAAAGGGAACATAGTATGAGTTCTTTTAAATAAAGCCACAAAACATAAGTTTAGTTTTTGTTAATATGCCCCAAAAAATGTTTAAAATTTTCATAATTTTCCTTATTAAAAATGTATAAAATATGCTGACTCGCTACTTATTTGTATTTAATTATTTAATTTTCTTTAAATATATATTTTTTTTAAATGTCCTTACAGTAATAATAATAATATTCTTTAGATATTAATTTCAAATTTTCTGTGGAATTGTTTAACATTTTCAATTTTAAGTATAAACAAATAATACAGGGATTATTTGATTCATTTAGTTAAAATTGACAATTATACTTTTTATTTTACCATTTTCTATATATGTATTTTAGTCCCACATGAATATTACAAAAAAATTAGTATGTCATTTATTTTAAGTTTTTCATTTTGTTTCACAAATAAACATGTATCAACTTTAACGCATGATCGAAACTAAAATAAGTTCTATTCATTTGCTTGAGCTAAGTACAAGTTTTTATGATTGATCTTTAGTAATTTAAGACATTCTTGCGTCAGAAAGTGTAATTTTTCTTTGAGAATACCGAAGATTATATCATAATTTTCTTGTGGAATATTGTGATTTGTGAATGAATATAGGGTATTTCAATAGTAAAGAAAGGTAAGTGAATAATAATTTTTTACATTTTTATTTAGTTTATGCTTGAAGAATCATAATAATAATATTCATTAAAATATGATTGCATAGCCTAAAATATCATTACATATAATTTATAATTGGTCCCACAAATAATAAGTTGGGTTGGGGCTATTTATCCCACTCCCCAAATCATTTTTAATATTATTATTACTATTTTAATAATTTTACAAGGCCTAGGCTTATCTAAGCAAAGACAAGTGGCATTATTACTATAAAAATACTTTTAGTTTAGTTGGCCTATCTAAGTCAAAGACAAGTGGTTAAAAATTCCAAGCCCATGGCAACCAACCCCAAAATTAAAACCACACTTATATTTCATAAGCAAATAATAATTATTTATGTTATAAAACATTTTTTATTATTTAAAATGATTTATTATTAGTTAAATTTCCCATTTATACTCTGGATAACCAATGAGTCCAATGTAATGAATTATTAACTGCCCCACGGCCGCTATCCATAATAGGCAATATGCATGCAAGTATGGTGGCCATGATGACAAATTACATAGCCAAAATAAGTGACCTCTTACATGTTAGTTTTTGAAGCCTTCCTTCGGTCAACACCAGCGGTTCTCAACCTGTGGGTCGCGATGCGGCATCAGAAAGGTTGAGAACCACTGGTCTACACTAATGAATTTTGGATATGTTATTAATGAACCTATAAACTTAATGAGTGGATTTTTTTTAATAATGCACCGCATTTATTGAAAAAAGTTATTGATTAGTAAAGTTTACCAATTTTCAATTTCAATTTTCAAAGTCAAAGCTTTAACCCGGTAAAAAAAAATCAAATGAATTCTCAAAAGACATAGCACAAGCATAATGTCGGCTTTATGAATTGGCGGATGTAGAATTTAATCTTCTGCTTAAAATCGACTATAAAACAAGAAACAACGGTACCTTCTGTAAATTAAAAATGCTTGTTGTTTGGCTGTTTCCAGGCGAGACCCAAGTACCTACTGAAGTTGAAGCCTACTGTATGATTGCAAACGTTTTCTGTTATGGCGATACACTAATACGGCAAAGATAAAGAAGAAGATCCAATATCCAGCCTCATTGACATAGTCGTACCACACTTTCTTTTTTTTTAATGAATGATAAATGACATAAATGTTAAATTATGTTAAAGCCACGCAAGTAAAGCAAAGACTGGCAAGAACTTCTTCAAGAAGCCCAAGTGCTGGTTGAGTCCGCCTAGCAGTGTTTTAAAGTCATAGTCATTTATTACATTAAAGTGTAGCTAAAATAGATTTCAAACATTTTACCTGGTGTATTTACTTAGAAATTTTTGGAGAAATCTGCATAGACATTTTTGTTACTAAACTAGGCCCTAAAGCACGTAAACTTATTTTCAGTTTTCAACGTAGGCAGCCATGTTGCCAAAATAATGAAGGTCACGTGATTTAGTAATAATAGCCATTCATGACTAATCTTATATTTTAGCGAGTGCATTTTTTACGACTGAAAGAAACTACCGCATTGTAAAACAAAGCAACATTAATTTTTGTTTAAATAAGTATGCATAAAACGTTTAGAACTTCAAGATATTGTTTAACTAAATATAATTTAGCACTTATTTTTGTAAAATTTATTTTCAAATTGTTATCTATTTTAAAATTCCCACAGCAAGTAGGGAGATTGCGAAGATTAACTTAAGACAACTTTATGATTCCATGAAATTTAAAAAAATTGAGATTTGACAAGTGTTTCATTAAAAATTGGTGGGGGTGGTCGGAGTTGATGGTGTAAATGTGAAGATTAAATGAGAATACAGTTTCAAAATTAGTCCATGTAACAAATTAACCGGCATATCAAAGAAAAAACTAAACGATAATAATAATAATGGTGAGAGAGAAATGAATGCCTGGGTAGGGGGGGGTGGGGGGAGGGGGGGTGATGCGGACCGCACAGAGTGACACCAAACTTAAAAATTACATATTTACAGAGCACACACCACTTGGTCAAACCGAATTTCACAAGAGAATAACCACAAAAACACAGGACAATTTTTCCACAGCTGTAACAAATCCAAGTATGTGTTTTATTAAAAAGTTTGAAGCTAATGCGTCAGAAATGAGGCGACCCTATAATTAGTTCGGTAATTTAAACTTACGTAAGTTACAGAAAGCTATATGGCTATTTATCTAAATTCTGAGAAATAAAGCTTTCAAGTGATACCAAATGCGATGTGGTCAGGGTATTCTAAGCACATGAATCGAATCGCTGCAAATTTTAAAACGACATTTTAGACATTTATCCATCCATCCCTGTGGCGCTACCGCCCATGTAAGGCTTTGACCTGCCTCACCACTTCCTTCCACTCAGACCTTTCATGCCTACAGCTCATGTAGGGCTTTGGCCTACCTCAACACTTCCATCTAACCATCACTGTGGTGCTACATCCAATGTAAGGTTTTGGCCTGCCTCAACACTGCCTTCCACTGACAATTTTGTGTCAATTTGTTGGTGGGGTAAAAATATTGGCCAAAATAGTATGGATGGCACGAGACAGAGAGAGAGAGAAAGAGAGAGAGAGAGAGAGAGAGAGAGAGAGAGAGAGAGAGAGAGAGAGAGAGAGAGAGAGAGAGAGAGAATATTATCAATCACTATAGTCTCACGTTTGAAAGTTGGCAGCCCGTCGATTATGGTATCATATTAACCATGCACCCTTACTCNAGCCCCCTTTTTTTTTTACATAAATAAACGAGGCGGTGAGACTAAAAGCTGCTCTGACTGACGCAAAGACATGTTTAACTCACCCAGACAGTATTTTAAGCTTAATTCTAAACACAAAGTAAACCTGATAGTCTGTCAGTTTTCTTGTTTGCTTTACTGTAAATTAACAATTTCGT